CTTCTCTGGAGACTAAGCTTAAAGGGGAGGCTCTGAGCTTTGTACATACGTTACCTAACGGTTCTTCCTTTTGACAGTGTTATTTCTCCTCCACTTTTACTGACGATGACAACTGTTAAAGGACATTTATTCTTTATTTTTATTTTTTTGTGGAAACGGTCTCACTATGTTACCCAGGCTGGTCTTGAACTCCTCCTGGCCTCAAGTGATTCTCCCACCATGGCCTTCCAAAGGGCTGCATCATAGGCACAAGCCACCTTGCCCAGCCTCGACCTGCAGGTAAAGAAGCTTAAACTCAAAGAGGTTAAGTCACTTAGGCAAGTTCACCCATTTGAGCCAGGGCCCTGTGACGCCCAAGTCCATGTCCTCATAACCTTGAGGGGTCACCTCTCCTCAGAAGACTGGGAAGACCTATAGAGCCTGTGTCACCTATAGAGTCTTGTTACCTTCAGATGGAGAAGCTGAAGCTCAGGAAATGGGACTTGTCTGCTCACCTTGCCCAGAGTTAATGATGTGGCCAGCCCGGCCCCAGATGCTGGAGCTCTTCCCAGCTACAGTGGGAACCTCTTCTCTGCCCTATCCACTGTCCCCAAGACTGTAACGTAAACCACCACCCAATGTCTAGGGCTCTTGTCTTACTGTTCTGTTGGTCCACTGGACTGATGCACGTGAGCCCCTGCTCGGTGCTGGGGACAGGTGCAGCTGCAGGGGAACAGCTGGGTCCCTGGCCTCAGGGGTTGCCCCAGGGTTCAGCTCAAATCACTAGCCCATCCTAACATCCTTATCTCTGGCCTAAGGCACCAAGGCTGCCTCCTGGCCCCCTGGCTCTCCCTAGTGTCTAGCCAGAGACCTTTGGGAGGCCAAACTGAGCAGGTCATTCCTAGGTAACAGGCCTCCAGAAGCTTCCCTTGCTTCTAGGCAACCCCCTTAGCAGGGCCTACAGAACCTGTGCCACCCACCCCGACCCCTGGCCCTGAGAACCATCGTGCAGACTGCTCGCTGCAGACACATGTGCTCGGGCTCCTTGTCCTTGGCTCTCCCCAGCAGCTGCTGCATCACCTGCACCAGGCTGCCCACCCCCATCAGCATTCCCCCGACTCCCACTAGGCCCTCCATCTGCACTGGGCCCACCAGTGCCTGCACACAGCTGTCTGGGAAGAAGGACTCTGGTTTAGTTCAGAGTCCCCACCACTAACAGGATGCTATGACCTATAGCAGAGTTAGTGTGACCCCAACGCCTGCCTCATGCTTCTCATTTGTTTTTACAGCTTATTTATCCCCTTATATCATCAGTACTTGGCTGAATGATTCAAGAGAATGTTCTCTGAGACCTATGTGCCAAGCACGTTTTAAGATGCCAGAGATGAAAAAGTGCAATGCTCATGCCACTGCTTCTGCCTGGTGATGTGGCTAACACACTCCATGCCTGGCCTGGTGTGGATTTCACTCTTGCGAGCCTGTGAGGCTGGTTCCAGGAGTCCTTGGAGGAGGTCCAAGGCAGGGTGAGGTAATCACTGCCTTCAGCAGGAACAGAAACAGAGGCTCAGAAAAGCCAAGTAGCTTGCCCAAGGCCCTACACCTGGGTGGTATCCCAGGGCACAGCTGGACAACAGAACTGGCCGACCATTGCTTGAGTCCCTTATCCAAGCTCTGCCAGCCATAGTGTGCACCTGGGAGAAATGCATCCACTTGTGCCAGGAGGCGGGTCACTGCAGCCCAGTGCAGGGTACAGTTGCCAGGGTGGTACTCCCTCAGTCCAATGTCAGTCTGGACAGAGCAGACAGATGCGCTATCTTGCTCCATGTCCCCAAGAGGGGTGTGAGTTGAGCACCTACAGAACAGTTGACAACATGGGCACATGTCTGGGGCTCTTTGCTGTGTGCTCAGCAGGGCTTCCCTGGTGACTGTGAGCATGTGGAGGCCCATGGGCCTGCACAGGACCCACCATGGCCCCAGGGGGCCTCCTCTCCTCACACACCACCTGGCAAGCCCAGATGGCACAGGGGCCCCCATGCTACAGGGGCTGATGAATAGGTGTCACAGAAAATTCCAAGGCACAGCTATCTCTGTCTCCCAATCTGCTGCTTCTCCAATTTCTCTGTTCTCCTCAGCCCTATTCCTACTGCCTCCTCCAGGAAGCCTTCTTCATAAGCTCTTCTCCCTCTGAGGCCCTAATATGCTTTCTGCCTGGACCATTCAGCCAACCCTATCTCAAGGAGCCAGCCCCCTCCAGCACTGATGTCTAGGAATGAGGGTCTGCATCAGGGGCTGAGCACAGTGCCAGGTGCTAAACAGGCCTACACCACAAACTCCACAGCCACCACTTAAGATCACCACTTCGTGCCTGGTGGGAGTGGGCAGCAAGGCCGTCCTGTCCTCACCGAG